CGACCACGTATACTTGCGAGTGCGTTTCCCACTACTCTTCTCCATTATGTAGATAATTCCCACTACTTCTCACCATTATAGTTGTAACTCCCACACCTCCATAACCTCCCCATAATCTTCATCCATGATCTCAAATGTTTAATGTCATTCTTTTTTATACCTCTATGTAATCCTATAAATAGAGGGTCTTGGCACCACACTGTACATACTTGACACACTTGAAATAAATAAGAAGCTCTCATCTCTTGCTCTCTATATTCTTGTCTATTTTTTTGTTTTATTATTTTGAACTAAGTTTCGTAACATCGTATAATTTATTGAAAAGATAGAGAATTTTTGTTCGTATACTTGGTGTAATTTAATTAATTCAGACAAATTATATAGAATCCTTTCTGTTAGAAAATATAGTGTGGATAGTCATTTGCATCCACAATCTAGAAATTTAACTCCCACTATTATCCGTAACTTCTACATGTCTAGTACTTATGTTTATAATTCTCACTATTTATTCATAATCTCAACGGTTATATGTTCATAACATTTCTTTATATTACCTTAATGCAATCTTATACATGGAGAATTTGGGCATCATATTGTATATACTTGGAAGAAATAAGAAAAAGCTCTCCTCTTATGTTTCTCTTATTTCTATCGTTTACACTGTTACGTTTTAGCTTGATTTCTTAAACACTTTCTACATTATTAATGTTACGGAATATCGTGAGTTAACTAGCACACAATCACACACAAAGCGAATACAGAAGAAAAATCAACACAAGGATTTAACAAGGTTCGGCTAAGCCTAATCCTCGGGGCAAAAGCAAAGAGAGTTTTTCACTATGAATGAGAAGAAAAGCACAATACAATCTTTAGGATCCCCAACTACAACCCCTATATATAGATCCCAGAAGGCCCTAAACCTATAAGAGAAAGGCTTCCCAATTTGACAAGGACTATAGATTTTCCTTTCCCAAATCTATTAGGACAATGGGTTTTCTAAACCTATAGGGACTATGGGTTTCCTAAAAATACAAGGAATTAATTCAAGCCACAAATAACAAATCTTCCCCTTGGCTTGAATTCCCTTCATCAACAGGAACAACGCCTCTCTACCTTGCCCTCAGCCCTCGCAAGGGCTCTATCCATTGGCGCACACATCAACCAAGTCTAAGCAACGCCTAAACTTGTTAAGAGACTCAATCACTTTAGCCATAGCACTAATCCGTCGATTTGGTTATGTACTCTGAATAGCTTCTGAGTAGCTATAACACTCAAATGCATCAACGATCTCTGCAACTGCCAAAGCAAATCCCACAGGATTCGTATATCCAAGAAGATTCCCATCAACTACGTTTGCAAACCTTTGCGGTCGGTTGATCACTCTCTGGTTGTTGTTGTGCAGGTGCATCAACATTATCATCTTGATCAATATTTTGCACCTCCTCCACTTCCTCTACTTTAGAACTAATGGGATAAGCTAGTGGAGATTCAATTTCTAGCTTTATGCGGTCACTGACACCACGATCTGTTTCTGCTATTGCCTTCTCCCTCTGACTGTCCAGTGAGGCAGGTTCATTGAATGTTACATCCCTACTAATAATTAGCCCTGGAGTCTTTTGATCTGTACTCCACAACCTATAACCTTTCACTCCAGTTGCATACCCTAGAAATATACGCTTCTTTGCCCTCGGCTCAAGTTTTTCATTCCTCACATGAGCATAAGCAGGACAACCAAATATCTTTAAATTTGAATAATCAACAGGCGAACCGGACCATACCTCAAAAGGAGTTTTGAACTCAATAGTTGTGGATGGAGATCTATTGACCAAATAACAAGCTGTATTGATTGCTTCAGCCCAAAAATCTTTGCTAACACATGAGTGTGAAAGCATGCTTCGTGCTCTATCACAAAGCGTTCTATTCATACGTTCTGCAATACCAGTGCGGTGTCTCACTATGTCCTCCCTGCTGCAGAAATTATCAAACTCAAAATTGCAAAATTCCAACCTATTGTCAGTTCGAAGATGCTTAAATTTTCTTTCCGTCTGCCTCTCAACCATCGTCTTCCATTTAACAAATGTCGAAAATGCCTCATCTTTTGTTTTCAGAAATACACCCACACCATCCTTGAGTAATCATCAATCAAAGTCATAAAATACCTGGCACCACTCTTGAAGAGAACTCTGTTTGGACCCCACAAGTCAGAGTATATATAATCTAACTTGTCTCTGGTCTTGTGCTCGACCTTCTTGATGAACTTTACCCTTGTCTGTTTACCAAACACACAATGCTCACAAAAATTCAAAACTTGATTTTTGTACCATTCAGCAAATTCTGCTTACTCAACAAAGACAATACATTATCACTCATATGGCCAAGTCGCAACTGAGACTGATTCAGATCATTTTTCCCAAAAGCTACAGCAGCTTCCCCTTCAACTACACTGTCCTGAAGATGATACAATTTAGAATGTAGTTTACCCTTCATGAGTACCATGGAGCCTTTACACACTTTAAGTATTCCATTCTCGGAGTGAAATTTATACCTTGATCATCCAAAGTCGAAAGAGAAATCAAATTTCTCTTTATCCGAGGAACATGCCAACACTCAATTGTTTCTGATAATTTCGTCGAACATTCTCAATTTGATGTTACCAACCCCCTCTACTGGTAATGGATTATCATCTCCCATATAGACAGTCCCACTCATTTGTTTGTAAGTTGCAAACCAATTTTTGTGTGGACACATGTGGAAAGTAGCACCAGAATCAAGAACCCAAGAATTTTTCCCATGACTAGAACTCGTAGCACAAACTTCCCCTACATAGTCACTATCATCAGAATTATTGCCAGTGTCAACAATATTTGCCGAATTATCTATTTTTTGCTTCCCTCTTTTCTCCTTCAGCTTAGGACAATCTCTCTTGTAGTGACCTTGCTCCCCGCACTCATAACAGTGTTGCTTCCTTGCTCTAGACTTTGATCTTGCGGTTGACTTTTTCCTGTTAAAGTCCTTTTGTTGTGTTCGTCCTCTAATCACAAGACCCTCGCCCTCAATTCTGTTGTCTGGAAAGCTCTTTTTCAACTCTTTTGATTTTAGTGCATTACTAACATCTTCTAGTGAAATGCTGTCTTTCCCATACAGCAGTGTATCGTCAAAAGTATTATCTGATACAAAGTATCATAGACTGTGGTAAAGAACATAACACAATCAAGGCCTGATCCTCACTCTCAATTTTGATATCCACATTCTTCAGGTCCATTATAATTGAATTAAACTCATCAAGGTGAGTTTTAACAGGTGTACCTTCGTTCATACGGAGAGGTATAACCTCTTTTTCAGGTAGAGGCGGTTTGTCAGCGATTTCTTAGAATACAGATCTTCCAGCTTCTTCCACGTCGTTGCTGCAAAAGTTTGTTCAGCAATTTTCCGAAGAACGCTATCTGTAACGCTCATGAAAATCGCACTCAAAGCCCTCTCCTTCAGGTCTTCCTTCTTTGTCTCTTTCATATCTTCAGGAAAATCCTCATCAATTGCTTTCCATAATCCTTGTAACACTAGGGACGATTTCATCCTAATCTTCCATAGACTGAAACTAGAACCTCCGTCAAATTTCTCTACTTCGTACTTGTTGAAGATGATGAATATAACTTAACCCTAAATTATGTGTAGAAACCCGAACCTTGCTCTGATACCAATTGTTGCGGAATATCGTGAGTTGACTAGCACACAATCACACACAAAGCAAATACAGAAGAAAAATCAACACAAGGATTTAACGAGGTTCGGCTAAGCCTAATCCTCGGGGCAAAAGCAAAGAGAGTTTTCCATTATGAATGAGAAGAAAAACACAATACAATCTCTAGGATCGCCAACTACAACCCCTATATATAGATCCCAAAAGGTCCCAAACCTATAAGAGAAAGGCTTCCCAATTTGACAAGGACTATAGATTTTTCTTTCCCAAATCTATTAGGACAATGGGTTTTCCTAAACTTATGGGGACTATGGGTTTCCTAAAAATACAAGAAATTAATTCAAGCCATAAATAACAATTAAGTTATACTTATCTTAGATATTTCCATATGATAAGCTTGCGTGATTTTTTGTATTCTTTATGAAATTGATATTTCAAAGTCGATTAATGTTATTTCTTTAACGGAAAAGGACCAAATAAAATCTTATACTATGAGAAAAGGTTTAAATATATCCCTCATTATATTTTCGGTCCAAGTATACCCCTGTCGTAATACTATTAATTCAAATATACCCTTTTTCCGTTAAATTTGTCCAAGGTGAACATCCAATCCTATGTGGCGCTAACATTTGATGAGGTGGATGCCACATGGCTTGCCACCTCAGCGCCCCTAACCTATTTTACCCCTCCCTTCTATTTATTTTTTCCATCACTAAACTTCTCTTCCCTCGAAGAAAATTTTAGTGGTGGAAAAACAAATATAGGGGAGGCGTAAAATGGCTTAGGGGCGCTGAGTTGGCATACCACGTGGCATCCACCTCATCAAATGTTAGTGCCACGTAGGATTGGATGTCCACCTTGGGCAAATTTAACGGAAGAGGGATATATTTGAACCAATACTATTACGAAAGAGATATATTTGGACCGAAAGTATAACGAAGGATATATTTGAATTATATTTGGCCCTTCTCCGTTTCTTTAATGCTTCATGCAGAAGCTCAAATCTGTCAATTTACAGTCAGCCATCGTACGTGAAGACCATATATATATGGGGAAAGATATGAGGACTGTGAGTGAAGAACATCATAACTGAGATCTCATTGACAACTGATCAATTCCCTGATTACAATAACTAATTAACTATTTGTTATATAAATCGTTATTTACTCAAGCTAATTGAAAAGTATAGACATATCCTATAATTAATCATTTTTATTTTGTAATTGATGCTTAAATTTTTTTTTGCTAGAGCTATTCGACACCTTTGTTAGGCAAAAGCTTAAAATGTAAGCGCGATAGAATAATAGATAAAATTGCAACTCTTCCAATAAACAGAATGATTTAAATGATAAAAGAAGATCATTGTACAAATCCCAAATAAGCTACAAAATGATCAAGAAATCTAGCTAGATAATTTATTGGCCTAAAATCTTATTTGACCACAGCCAAAACAAAATAATATAAAAGGGCTAATTAACCCCATGACTGCATCTTAGAACAGGAAGATGTCAGAGGGATCACAGCAACACTCATCTAGGAAGCAACAACAACACAACGCTGCCAAACTGCAAGAGAATTAAAAGTAGTCAATCCAATGTACAAGTAGCTTAAACAAACAAAGTTTGCTCGTCTATTAAATATGTACACATTACTTCTAGTATAAAATAATAGTCGGTAAAACATAATAATCAACGTTATATTTATATAATTGTTACTATAATATTCCATAAGCTCAAGAATTCAAATTTATTAAACATATTTATGCTATGTTCTATCTAATAAACAAACTTTTAATATTTATCTCATTGTTAGAAACGTAATGACAACTCAAATTATGTGTACACTCAAAACACTGTCATATAATATGAAAGGGAGAGGCATTTGCCAGTTTAATTAGGAGGCTAATTAAGGTATTACCATCCCTTAAGAAAACCTCTGTTTTTACGAGGTGGAGGAACAGCATATGTTGGGGGTGGCATCACTGGGGGAGGAGGACCCTGATAATAACCTGCCACCAAAATTAAACAGCATATAATTTCAAGTGACATTCACATATATAGGTTTTTATTCACAAAATCATTATCAAGCGATATTACGTGTTAGTAACTCAGTTTTGAATTTAATTTTTGTTTATTTAATGAATTTCTTGATACGAATACAGTGTTTGGACTAAAGCTACTGAGTTCGGTCGGTCGAACAGTTGTATCCGCCGTTCATTTTTGTCTTTTCCACTATATGCTGCAACAATTCTAGTCATACAAAACCTCAAGGAAAATTGGATTATCTTAAAATCACCGAATATATGTATCAAGTTGCCATCATCGAATCTAGAAGAAGTATATATTTAGAACATATATATCCAGTATAATAGTAATGTTTATCCCCCAGCAGGACGAATTTATCATTTTAAGCTAGCATGTCTGAAATACTATTACACCAGGACTCATTTGTTATTATATATGTATAGACCTACTTAATTTAAATATATACAAATTTGCAAATAGAATAAGAACGACTATCGAACAAATATGCATGCATATAGTAACATATAGTACCTTGGGCAGGGTATGGAGTAGCGTACTTTGGAGGTCTGTTCATGTTTGAAACTCTGAAATCCAAGAGATATAATGATTGATACTTGATACTATTTGAAACCTGAAACTGCCACTCTAGAATATATAGCCCACTAGGATTCGACGAAAGAAGTGGATATACAAAAGGGAAACTGGGAAAGGCAGCTGCTTTCAATGTAAACGAGGAATATAGAGAAGTGAGATCAGATTTGATATGTTATTTTTCCTTATTAGGATGATCGCAAACCTTAGTGGTAGTGTTTCGTACGAATGAGGCATTAAGGTAGTTCAACACGTACATGCTGAATAGCGTAACGTGGCAACCGTACAAGGCCTTTTGGATCCTCACTGCATATTGCTAATCTTTTTGACTTGGGCCACACATGAAACTTCTTACCACGATATTTTGCGGCATTTTTCTTATTTTTTTATTGCTCGAGAGAACAGCAGTGAACACTAGATCTTTTGCTAGCGTTTGGCCATAGATCCCAAATTTGTTTTGAAAAATTTGAATTTTATAAACTGTATCGACATTTAGAATTGTTTACCTCGAAAATACGAGTAACAATTAAATTTGATTTGTGGTTTAAAGATATGTGATTTAGTTCAATACTAATTGATAATCAAAATATATGAAGTAGAAATGAAAGAAATAAGTGAATCAAACCAATGTTACTCAGCAGTAGTGACCTCGAGCTTAGTGACCTCGAGATGAACCAAGAACAATAAAATAAGAGAGTAAAGAGAAAGGAATATTCTGATGAACAGTAAGCGAAAAGTAGAGAGTATATTCTTTGCCAATGATTAGATGGATTTTGCAAATGATTGGGTCCCCTTTATATAATAGGGGAACCCTAAATAAGGTACATTTCTGTTTGCAGTATGGAATATTATTGGTACAACTGTCTAACCGCCTAGTACGGAATCGTACAATCCTATTTCGGGATTTGCGCCATGATCTTGGGGACGTGGCAGGAATCTAGCTCATTCTGTTACAAATCCATAACGGTACAATTTCGGGGTCGAGCATACTTAACTTCGGTATTCCCCGCACTCCTATCTTCGGGCATCGCATTCCGTCCTCGAGCTCGAGTCTAGTCTATCGACCTCGAACTTGAGCTTACTTGAACTCGGACCTAAGGCGATCCCTCGAGCCTGGAAAATCGGGCGTGCCCGATTTCGACCGTATACAGACAGTCCCCGCGTTTCTTAGATCAAGGTGATAAGAAACGATTTGAACCTCGATTCTCTAGAGTCTCTAATGATGATGTTATTCCTGTGATGTGGGCACTTGAAGTGACTGAAACGTCCCGTCGGTTCACTTTCCCAAAATATTAAATGCATGCCAGTAATGGTCGGCCACTAGCGCCGACGAACCGTCGTTGCTCATCTATCAATGCGAGGCTACTTCTTTGAATTGAAAACTTTACTCCTTCATTCACAATTACTCTGATCATCTCTCTTCTTCACCCTTTTCTCTCACCATCAGTTTCCACAGCCCCTTTAAACGCTGGAAAATGCCAAGTTCTCGTAAAACACAACGCTCTGCTACCGTATGTATTCTTTAGCTTAGACTCATGGCTAAAACTTCCAAACGAGTTCCCAAAAAGGATAAAGCGTCGTTTTCTTCTACCTCCCGGCCGACCAAACCGGTGGTGCCGCCGACTCTTGAAGAAATCACCCCCGGCCCCTGCGTGATTAAAAAGGACTTCAATATTGAAAATCCGCCGATATCCCAGGTCGATGCGAACATGTATCTCGGTATATTTGTTCGATATCGAAGAAGTTCCTCAAAGCCATGAAGAGGGACTGCGGCTGGGGAGACGAGGTCATGATTCAAGTCCCAAGCCCCGAGGAAAGAAACACCACTCACGTGGAGGGGTTCTTGAGTGTTTACACTTACCCCTTCACACTGGGTCCCCTCGATCCGGTAGTGATCGACTTCTGCAAAACATATGAGGTCACCCTCGGCCAGACCCATCCCTCCTTTTGGCGCATCGTAATCATGCTGCGCTATTTTTCTGGAAAGGCCGAAGGGTTGGAATTTACCCTCAATCATCTTATTCAGTTGTATCGGCCCCAGCTATTTCGAGGGCTCATCAAGTTGCAATGTCGAAAAAAGAAGTCCTTCTCTACTAGTAACGATGAAGACAAAGATTGATGCTGGATGAGCCGATTCATCAGAGTAAGGACTTCGGATGTTATCCCAAGGGACAAAAAGCCGTTCCCGGAGAGATGGAACTTTAATCGTAGGTGGAGTTTCTTAACAAATACTTCTTCATATTCTACTTCCATTTTACATAATATTTTTATCTTTTCTACAGTTGTTGCTTGGACGCCTCACACTGTCCTTGGCCTCGAGGAATGGGTCCGAAAGTTAGTTGCCACCTCCTCGTACGATGAGCGCAAATGGCGCGATTTATCAAGGGGTAAATGGGAGGCCAAGCATCACGGTAAATTCTCTTCCCAAGCTTTGATACCTTTCCTTTACTGGTGACGTCATCTCATTCATGTTTATTTGTGCAGGCATCGGAGATGTCTCCGAAATGAGACCAGCCCCGCCTGGGGAAGGGGTCGAGTCCCTGATTTCGAAATCGGGGAAAGACCACAAAAGAAAGAGGGCTTCGAAGCCCGAGGATACCCAGGATGAGGCGGCCCCTACTCGGAAGCCAAGGAGAAAACTCATTCATGTGGACTTGGAATCAGCCATTCAACACCTGTAAGACGAAGAGAACAAAGGTGAAGAATCGCCGTTGGTACTCCGAACTAGGAAACCAGTCGAGGCCGCCAAGTCCTCTGATCCTGATACCTTGCCTCTCGATGAAGGAACTCTGAAGAAAGATTCAGGAAAGGCCCTCGAGTCCCTCGAAATCGAGATCGTACCTCCTCCTTCAACAAATACGCCGGAGGGGACAAGTGCTGAGAGGGCCGAAGCTAATCAGAGCGCCCCGAGTGAGGAGCTCGGGGCCGTGACAATGGGTCACTCACCTTCTCTACCAGCCTACTCCGTTGAGACAAGAAAGGATGCTCGGGCTCTGCGAACACCTGACCCGAACAAGGTCCTCGAAGAAGACCCTTTCCGGGACTGTTTCACCAGGGTTGACGATGCCGTCAACTTTAACAATGCATCTACTCTCTTCTAAGAGGCTCAACGTCTCCTCTCTCGGGTAAATACTAACTTTCATTGTTGTACTGACATATCTTTTTTTCATGTATAGGCCATCGTCAAGTTTAGAGCTGAGCTGAGCCAATGTGAGGCCGAGATCAGGAAGGTTTCGGGTGAAGAGAAGGCCCTGAGGCTTCTCTGTAGGCAAAAAGAGGAAGAGCTTAAGGACCTTCGGGCTGAATTGGCCCAAGCTCGGAAAAGCGAGACCGAGCTAGATGAGCAGGTAACTGTGATTTTAACAAAGTATGGTCTTCTTGGCCTTACTTCGGAGGCTAACACTTCGATGTCTCAGCTGCAGCAGAAGTTGGAAATGATTGGGTAGCTCCGGGGCGAGGTTGACCAAGTTAAGACTGACTGCCATCGATGGAGAGAGAACATGGATCGGCTCGCTGTCGATAAGGAAGTTGTTATGGCCCAACTGACCTCGGCTGAAACTCAGCTCCGAGGCATTAAAGTGAAGAGTCTGGCCCAGGCCAAGAAAATTGAAGAGTTAGAGGCGGAGCTTGCTAGAGCTCGGGCCGAAGCTGCACAGGCCAAGGCTAAAATTGAGAAGACGAAGGCTACAGCAGATAAGACCATCGCCGTATACTTAAGGGACGCCGTGGTTGTTTAAGTGGAGCTAAGGGAGGCCTCCGACCGGGAAAACGGAATAATGATTTAGCCAAGTGCCAAGCCCGAAGGGGGACTCTCGAGGAAATCCACGCCCGAGGATTTGACCTCACTGAAGAAATAGCCCAAGCAAAGGCGCTGGAAACCGATGCCAGGTTTCTTGTTTCTTCTGATGATTAAGATGATGTGAGTGGCTCCGGGGGAGGGGAAGGTGAGGAAGGTGTTCCCGAGGAAGAGGAAGTTCCCGAAGATAGAGCTGCCGAGGCTGCAACTCCTGAGGAAGCTACTTCCGGGGACGTAACCCCGAAATAGATTAGGTTCTCTTTTTCTTTTTGTGTAAGGGCCCCTCGTGGGCATGGTAAATATACTTTGTAAAACATCTCTTATGGATATAAAGAACCTTTTTGCTCTATCCTCAACTTGTGTTGAATTTTATTTTGTTCTCATTTGTGGGAAGATTTCGATTGTACAACTCAAATGATCAGTCCGAGTATCCGTTTGGAATCAGAACATAATAAACCCTTAGGTTTTTATTGATCAATATAATACCCCTTAAGGTTTTGTTAATCCTCGAGCTAAGTTTAAATTGATTTCATGCGAGCTCGAGATGTCGGGACTCTTGAGTCCGAGTTGAGTGAGAGCAAGATCTCGAACTCTATGTATTTTGGCCCTTAGGCTCTTCGATTTGGGCCAATTCGGCCTCTAAAGTGGCTATAATTTTTCCCTCTTTTCGACTAAAAGACTTAGTGAAAATTTAATTATGCCTTAGCATATTTTTTTGTATCCATTGGGTTTTTCAAAGGTTCGACGGATCGGAACCTTATTAGTAGTTTGTTTGTGTAAACATAATCAAATACCTCTTGAGGTATTTTCGAAGGCTGATGTTATTGAAGCCTCTAAATCATTCGAGGGCTGATTTTATCGAAGCCCTTTATCTTTGCTTTTGCTGAGGCTAGCCTGATTTAACCGGTTTTTTCAAAGTGTTTGAAGGCCTTTAATTTATGGCGGAAGTCGGACGTCTCCGAGCCGCATGATTTCGGCCGTAGACTTTTTATATGACCATAGTCTTTAATATGGCCGTAGCCTTCGGGTATGTCTCTTGGACTTCTTTCCCGATAACCTTTCGAACTTGTTCGAAAAGTTAGTCCCCGAGTATGTTGTCCTTGGCCTTTGTATCGAGGGAATGCCTCTTTGAGGCCTTATGGGTCCGAGTTTACGACAACACGGATATGCTGACTGTCGATGACAGTCCTCGAGTATCTCGGGGTTACATTCGTGCTCTGGCTCTTGAGCCGTTTCCCGTAGGATTATAAGTGTAGAGCTCGTACAATAGTAGACTTCTTTGAGACACAAAGTGTTTTTGATATAAACAGAGTGCTTCTTCAAATAATTGATACATGCGTACATGTTTTTCCGTCGGGGCTCGACTATTCTATATGGACACGGTTC